TCAGGGAGCAGAAGGGGCCATAGCATGTACACACAAGCATGTACACACAAGCATGTACACACAAGCATGTACACACAAGCATGTACACACAGCAGCCACAGGGCAGCAGGTCGACACAAGATGCTGAGCTGGTGGCAGAGGGGTCTTCTGTATTCCACAGAGAAGAGGGCGATGGGGAAACAAGTGACACAGCACTGCTGACATCTGGGGTTTCCCCGGATTGGGAGGCCCAGTGACACAGTTCTGGTGCAACGGGGGGGGGAGTCACACAGCTCGTGTTAAAATGCTGGAGGGGGGGTATAATCCACTGCTGATGTGCAACAGAGATGTTACTGTAGGGAGTGGAGCTTTGTTAGGCTGCCATGTTGACTCAGACTGTGGCAGGGTTAGGGGAGACCCCCTTTAACGCGCCAAGGACGCTGTAGTTAGAACCATGTGCGGGATCCAGTGTTTCTTCGCTAACCTACAGTTGCTGCAGGTTTTTTTAATAGTTGTTATTGATCCCTGTGGGGAAATTCTCTTTTTTCCTCCTCCATCTTGCTCTTTGTAGGTGAGAGCAAGCTGGCCGTGAGGAGCAGGCACTCGGAGTGCTGCCCAGGAGGGGGGGGGGGAATGACCTTGCTGAAGGACCCGCAGGTGTACCGAGGCCGGGCTTGAACCAGCGACCTTCTGATCACAAGCACAGAGGCTTAGCTCACTGTGTGCACTGCAAAGATCACCTGGCCGTTACAATGTGACAGTCGCCTCTCCGGGCCCCACAGAAAATGTCCCAGGAGATGTCATTGTGGACTTTTAGGTGGCCTGTGATGTCATTGTGGACTTTTAGGTGGCCTGTGATGTCATTGTGGACTTTTAGGTGGCCTGTGATGTCACTGTGGACTTTTAGATGGTCTATGATGATTGGTATTGTTAACTGCCTATGCTATAGGGATACGTCTTGATAAAGGCTGCGATTCAGGTAGTTATGATATGCAGCAGCTTTCCTCTGACAGGGCTGCAGTCAGTGAAGTACCTGCAGTCCCCTGGTAGGTTCCCAGATCGTTAACGTTGAGAAAACACTTTTAGACGTATTGAGATGATGAAAATGTATTCCACAAGAACAGCCGAAAAACAAGCTGTTGCACTGCAGAGATACTGGGACTGACTGGTGCTTTGGTGGTTTTGGTGTGTGGCGATGTGCCTTCATATGGTCCACTGAGGAGCAAATAATGTTACGATCCGGAGCACTGGACTGTCAAATCAGAACCGAATTCTTATGGGCTGCTTTAGGCCAAGTCTGCCGTGCTTCGTCACGGATACATGTGTTTGGTTCCAGTCCAAAGCTGTCTGACACTGCAAATGGCTTCCATGTGGGATGTGGACGGGGGATCCGGGAGGAGCCAGAGCGGGGGAAGTTGATGGAGCAGGGAAGCCGCGTGGGCCGAACTGCTCCCATGGCGCGACACTGCAGGCCCCGCCCCAGAGCGCCGCGGCCAGCCAGACCGCCGTGAAGCTGCGCGCGGCTCGCGCTGAGGGCCAGCGGTTGGAAAACTGCAGTCACGGCACGGACACTGCGTGGGAGTGGGGTGGTCACTGGATGACAAGTCATGACAAAGCCAGCTATTACCCAAATCTTCGAAAATGGAACGGATTGGACTCCTTCACCTGGTCAATGCCATGGCTCCTCGTTGCCCCTTGTTGTAAACTCATTTTTGCTTTCTGGAAACCCGGCATGTAGTTTGAGATTCCTGGTCACCAAAAATTTTTACTGAATCCCTGGTTTTGTGCTGCCTTTGCAGATTCATGTAAATGTATACAGTTATATTTGTGTCTATTTCATGCTCAGCCAGATGTGGCCTCTTTGGCTCCATGTTGGATTAAAATGTATCTTTACATTATATTGCCATAGGCGCATAAAATAAAGTTAATAATCATGTGAAATAAGAGCCTGCTATTCATAGTTTGAGGCCGAGGGGGATTCTCTTGAATCACTAATGTCCATTTACTTTAAGGGAATGCAGATGGTTGTCATATCGTGTGATGTGATCTCATTGATGTGAGTTGTATTATTTTTTTCCTGACAGGTAGAACTTCAGCTTGTTTCTCAGACATCATGGGTCACAAAAAGAAGTCCACAGCTCTAGTGATTCTCACTGTGTTCCTAGTATTCCTTCAAACGTTCTGCACGGCTCAGAAGGATATGAGATTGAGTAAGAGTGACCCCACCACTGTCCTTCTATAATGCATGACAAATCTGAACTACGTTGAACTTTGTGCTTCTCAGAATGTTGGCTAAACTGTGAAGATTTGTGGTGTTTCAGGATCATTCCATGTTTCCTGCTGCGTGCTGTAAAACAGGTTGGAAATTAGGAACTTTCATTTCAGGGGAAGCAGTTAAAATCCAGCTTTTTCTCTTTTTGCCTCATCTTGCAGGCTGTCGAACGGCTCCCAGTGATTTGGTTTTCATCTTAGACGGCTCTTGGAGTGTAGCAGACACTAACTTTGAAATAGTCAAAAGATGGCTGGTGAACATCACCACCAGCTTCAACATCGGCCAGAAGTTCACCCAGGTTGGTGTTATCCAGTATAGTGACAACCCCCACCTGCACATTCCCCTGGGGAGCCACTCCTCCAGTGAGGAGCTCATCAGGGCAATGGAGTCCATCGAGTACATGGGTGGAAACACCAGGACGGGTGAAGCTATTCAGTTCACCAGCGAGAGAGTCTTTGACATGTCAGAACGTGGCCCAAACGGCGTAGCCAAGATAGCCATTGTGCTGACGGACGGGAAGTCGCAGGATGACGTGGCCGTGGCAGCGGAGGCTGCCAGGAAGAAGGGAATCATCTTGTTCGCCATCGGAGTGGGGCAGGAAACTGAGGAGGCTGAGCTGAGGGCCATCGCGAACAAGCCGCCTTCCACGTACGTGTTCTACGTGGAGGACTATGTCGCGATCACCAAGATCCGCGAGGTCATCCGCCAGAAGCTGTGTGAAGGTAGCTCGGCCTTCCCCTCACGTCATGGCTCTCTGTCCTGTGCATTGCCAGCTTCATGGACAGCAGATTTGTGTAACATCCAGCTGTGGATTACATGCATAGTGCAGCTACTGCTTTTCAGTTAGGCCAGGCCTTGGTTTTTTTGCTCCAGTTCACCAGAATATAATCCAGGTGTTCAAAAAAAGCACCTCTTTCAAATAAAACCAATTTGACCAATTAAAATCAGCAATTAAAATCAGCGATTGATATTGCAACCACTTGCAGAAAACTAAAATTGCAGAGTATTAAGGATATTGCAAAACAGTACATGATTACCAGTACTTCAATCTGGCATTAAAATGCAGCACCCAAAAGCTTTAACTGGATTTAATGTCCACATTTGACGGTTCTGCAATTCTTTCCAATTGTTCCAGGCAGTTAATACATTCCAGATGTATATGAAGGCAATCAGAAATACCCATTGTTTACAGAGGCAGTACAGTTTAATGTCATTTTTAGTACAAATGCATGCTCACATTTCTCTTTAGCTTAACTACATCAGGAAAGTCTCTCCTCGAGTTTAAGCAGAAATCCACTGTAGCTGTATTAGTTTGTCCTGTGCTTGATAGGGTGTCTGCAATACTTTACAACACTGTACATCATATATAGTCCCAAAACAAATTTCCTTTACACACACATACACGTATCGGACGGAAAATGGAACAGAATATGTCAGACAAGAGCAGGATTTGCGCAAATCGGATCTAGCGTAGCGGGACAAATGAGGGAGATGTGTGTTTAAGGGCAGATATGACATTCTAGGTGAGGAGACATTCTTGAAAGATGCATACTTGTAAAAAATCCAGCTGTTCAGGCCAAGAGTTTTTTCCACTACAGTTTCTTTCTTCCAATTCTGGGGCCAAATGAAATAAACAGTTGAGTTCCTTGGATGCTTAACCCTTAATGGTCTGCTTTCCGATTTACACGCTAGCTGTGCGACACAGCAAGATATCATTTCTAAGAATATCAGCTGAGATGGTTCTGCAGAACCTTTGCATGGAAGGGATGAATAAGTTCACAAGAAAGGCAGAAATGTTCAACTTCCTACAGCTGCGATGCTTATGCCCTCTAAGGATGCACCTACCTGAATCAAACAGCACTCTCTCGTCATCTCCATCTCTTTTCCTCCCATGTTTTCCCCTTGTAACCATAGAAACTGTCTGCCCATCGAGGATCACGGTGGAAACTCGCGATGAGAAGGGTTTTGACATGCTGCTACACCTGGACTTTGCCAAAAAGGCGAAAAAGACGCAGGGATCTTTTTATGGCACAAAAGCTTATCAGGTGACTCCAAGAGTTGATTTAAGTGAAAGTACAAGGTAAGATTAATTTAAAACTATGCTTCTAGGGGACTGGCAGGGTTATTTTGTCGACGGTTTAGCCTCATGCTCCATCTTTCATGTCGTTTGATGTGATTCCTAGGATGCTCTTTCCTGATGGGTTACCCCCTTCCTACGTCTTCGTGGCCACACTGAAGTACAAGGGGTCGGTGGTCATGGAGATGTGGGATTTGTGGAGAGTACAGACCCAGGAGGAGAAGCCTCAGATGGCGGTCACCCTGAATGGAATCAACCGTACGGTCATGTTCACCACAACCAGCTTTGCACCGAGTGGCACCCAGACCGTGATCTTCTCAAAAGCGCCGGCCAGGGTACGACGTGTGGCCCGATCCTGTGCGAGATGCGCGGAAAACATTCCAATTACGCAGGAGTCTTTCGTGAGCACGTGTCAGTCTGGTTACCCTCCAGGCATCCATGTGGTCTTGATTAATTGGAGAGCAGAGATTTGGCAAATCGTCGGTGAGAATAAACAAGGTTCTCTCATTTGAGACATGACATTGAGTGAGTGATTATGGGTTTTTTGTGCCCTACTAGAGAAGCAGTTCAATAAGAACAGCACAATTCTATAAGAAAACCCTTTGGAGGTCCCTCAGTAGGGACTCCAGACTTTGAGATCCTTCGTTCTTCTACTGGCTCTCAATCTGGCCTGGCCTTTGCGATGGCCTCTTATTGTGCCGGGGCCACATTGTCCAGATTCCACGCGTTCTGACCTGCATATGGATTAAAAATCATTCAACTTCGGAAAAGGAAAAAATGGACCTTTATAGACCATAAACGAGTCTTTTTCAGTTTCTCATAAATTCTTCTGAATGGGCCATGCCAATCAGGGAAATTGTGCATAGATGGAGACAGACTTCTGGAATCCACTGATATGGGATTAGTCATTCTGTTAGTGTTCTATATCATCTATTACTTAAAGTGTGAGTGCAATGCATGTTTTACTGTAATAAATTGCTCCTCCTTTGAGCTAATCAAGTAACTTTTATCCAATGTACTACTTGCTTCCACTAGGACTTTTCAAAACAAGTGAAATAAGTACTGCAGACCTAATTAATGCACCTAAGCAATCGTGATTAATGCTTGAAAGATTTAATGAAATCAAGCAGTTTTTCATAAGAGTTATTTACCGCCTCTCCTCTTTGGGTGGCAGAAACTGTTTGATGAAATGTGGCATCAGCTCCGCCTGCTTGTCACGGAGCAGGACGTCACGCTCTACGTGGATGACATGGAGATCGAGACGCTGCCTCTTCAACCCCCAGATGGCATCTTCATTAACGGGAAGACACAAGTCGGGAAGTATGTGAGCAAAGAAACGACCGTGCCGGTAAGCTGGTGGAAATGGCTTCTTTAGGCCTGCACTCCTGTCGTTGGTCTGCAGAGGGCCAGAAGGACATTAAATGGCAAACAGAGCATTTTTAATTCCGGTGAAGTGGTTGCAGCTCTTAAAGACACTTCTATAGAATCGAATAGAGATCCCAGAAAGGAAATTTTCTTTTCATCTTCCCCATCTTGCTCCCCCTGAGACAGATGAAATCAAGCTTCCCAGCACAGGGTCAGCCAGCACCCCAGGAGCTGAGGGTTAGAGGCCTTATTCAGAGGCACGAGGCCACATGACTGGTCTGCTGAGGCTTGAACCGGCAGCCTTCTGATCAAAGACACAGAGGTTTAATCCACTGAGTCACACATCCAAAGCAACATACAATTGAGAAAACTGGGTCAATCAGCCCCTGGAGGAACTGTGCTGCTAAGGGCCAAGCTCAGGGGATTTTGAAGCACAGACCTTAAGCTCACAGGCACATTGTCCAAACCCTCTCAGCCTCACACCAGCCCAATCTGCGCTGACCAGGAATCGAGCAGCTTGGAAGGTGGCGCTGCTAGCCGTTGTACCTCCAAGGCATCTGGACATTTAATTTAAATAACTATACCATGCAAACAGTGCTCGTGCATTGCTGTTCCATCTCCTTCTGCATGCCGTGCCCCCCTCCCCCCCCCCAGCTTTCTGTGGACATAGTGGCGCAGGTCACTAGCGGATCTCCTGTTTACCATTATTTTGCAGTGCCAGTGAAAGGCAGTGTGAACAGCAGCTGTGGGTCACACACATACGATGTGCGTGAAACGCATCTGGCCCACAGTTGTGCCCTTAGCGAGGGTACGGCGTAATCGTGGCATGCGTTTGAGTGCATGAGAGAGAAGAATCATTTAGCAGTGCTGTAGTAGTGCGGCAGTGTTTTACAACAGTAAATATCCCAGAAAATGGCACCTACACTTTAAAAAGGAGAAAAGAATAAAGCCAAAATCATGGCTAACTGAAATGAGTCTGGAATCCAAGAGAGGATGCAGATCCCGATGACCCAAGTTTGAGTTTGTCTGCTGTACAGCGTCTTTGTCAGAAGCAGCTCTTGACATTTATAAAATAAGCATGAGTTTCACGGGGTACTAAATCAGGGCATGCTTTCCACGGGATCCTCTTCAAAATGTTTGCTTCCAATTGTGCTCGCTGCAAGCCGCAGTCCATCGTGACTGAGAGTCTCTCTGAACGCTCCCTAAACAGTTTGAGATTCAGAAGCTGAGGATATACTGTGACCCGGAGCAGAACAACAGGGAAACCGCCTGCGAGATCCCCGGAGTGGTGAGTGTGATGAGGCACCGGAGCCTTCGTGCTGAAAACACCAACCCTGCTGCTTTATGGGTGAATCTGGTAGCTTCTGCTGTCATTTCAGATTTAGTCAGCAGCCTCACCTGGCTTACAAACATGCTGTAAAGTAGGTAAAGCAGGTATTTCCCTCTCTTTGGGGGTGATCCTCAGAATACAATGCAGAACATGGACATATGGCTTTTTGTTAGCTTATCATACGCACTTATCACTCGCCCTCATCTTCTGCGCTCGTCTGCATTTTTGGAGCCTTCCTTCGCAGACGCTAATACTCGCTTCATGCATGCTGCGTTTTATTTGATTTTCCAGTCAGACGATAACTCCGAGAGGACGGTGTGGGGCCAGACGCTGGCTTGGCTTCGCTAATCCTTTCACCATTAACGTGTAGCGCCAGGCAGATCTCGCTGCTTTAATTGCGAGGCCGACGCGCGTGACTGCAGTTTCCGAGAGTGCACCCCGTGCTGGCTGAAGGCGGCCGCTGGGCCAGCCTGCGCATCTGCGCATGCGATTGTGTGCAAGTGAAATGATGCCTGACAGGATTTCACTCCTCTCGTTTCCAGGATGGAGAGGTACGTATATCGAGAGATGGCTTTGCTCGCTTTCAAAGTAGCTTCATTTTCAACAGCAGAGGTAAGGCTGCTTCGCTTTGTGGCCCTGCCAGTCTTTTTGTCCACATGTTCCATATTTATGAATGAAATGGGCTACCTACCTACTAGTTGGGCTACCTGCCTACTACTTGGGCTACCTGCTTACTAGTTGGGCTACCTACCTACTACTTGGGCTACCTGCCTACTACTTGGGCTACCTGCTTACTAGTTGGGCTACCTGCCTACTAGTTGGGCTACCTGCCTACTACTTGGGCTACCTACCTACTACTTGGGCTACCTGCCTACTAGTTGGGCTACCTACCTACTGGTTGGGCTACCTGCTTACTAGTTGAGCTATCTACTTATTAGTTGGGCTACTAGTTAGTGTAAGAAGGGCTCCTGAGGAGTGTTTGGACATAGGCTCTTATTCTTATTGGTTCATTCAGTGGTGTCAAAAAATGGTGAAAATGGTTTGGGTTCAGACAGAAATCTGTTTTGGAGTCTGGAGCCTGGAGGTCTGCTCCCTCTGTGCTACTGTGAATTACGGGCTGTCGAATGAGCGGGGGCACCCTCCCCCACCTTTGGCCAGCCTCGCCCTCTGACCCCACTATGCAGAACGTGACTGGGTCCATTAAGGGTACCGGTTCAAAATCGTGGCCTTGGATGCCCCGTGTGACTGTGTGTTTCTGCGACAGTGTTCCAACGGCCCCCGGGACATCGACCCCACCCCGGAACCATGTACCTGCCCCCCCGGCCCACCCGGGACTCCAGGCCCAAAGGTCAGTACTGTAGGTGGAGGGGCTCCATAGTGATGGAGATCCAGGGTGTCTGAAGGACACACCGGTTTGGCCATAACTTTGTAGATTCCATTCAGCCATCCGCATTAAACAACTGCTAAATGGACGTCCACATACACAAATTCTGTACATATCCCAGGTGTCTGAACATACAGTAGTCACCTGCATTTATCATCGATGCTAATTGATCCCATTGGGGGAAAAAGGGTTTGTGTGGATCCTACCCCATCTCTGGCATCTGGAAGCAGGGTCAACTGCTGATGCTTTAAATAAGAAGCAGGTTTTACTGCAAAGGTATCATTCAAAATATCATCCTTAAGGTCATGCAATTATGACTACAATTATTCCCCATTTAAGGATACACACCCTTTAAAACACTCCTCTACCAACCTTAGCAAAGGTCACAAGCATTAACTTAAACCTGGGAACAGGCCTCATTTTCACACTAATGCATTCAGAGGCTAGTGTTCAGTTCGTACAGGGGAATAAGCAGCCATTATTCAGTCGGCAGTCACTGTGAAGGAGCTTCATTGCCATTTCGAAAATGAGGCATGGCTGCATTGCAGATGGACCTCCCAGCGTGACCATTCTACACAGCTGGGGCGAGTTTCACATTCAGTGCCGGCTTTGCTTGGTGGCCACGTTTCTGTTTATAATGGTGCCAATGTTGCCTTGAAGTCTAATGAACTTTTTTAAAGGACCAAAAAGTCCCTGCTTAAAAACAGTTCCCACGCACACACACACACACACACACACACACACACACACACATACAAGTTGGTCTTCCTATCTAAATGGGGACCGTCCATTCATTTCTATGGGAAAAAACCTAATCCCAATCAGGACACCCTTAACCTCTACCCATCCCTAACCTTAACCATAAGTAACCAACCCAGATACAAGACCTCTGGCATTTTTACTTTTTTGATTGCATTCAGATTTTTATAAAACTGAGGTTATCCAAATGGGGACCTCAAAATATGTCCCCAAAAGTAGGGAAATTTCAGATTTTGGTCCTTAAATGTGATCTATGTAAACCCACACACACACACACACACATACACACCGCAATGCAAGAAATAAATAATAATGTGCAGCAAAAATGCCTGTGACTGGCTCAGCATTGAGCAGATACTTGCAGCATCTAAATTTAACTGCAAATGTAATAGAAATCGTGAACAACAGCATTTTTTGCTGGTAATTTTGAAAGGTCCATTTGCAAAGTGTCCGATTTCGCCTCTATTTTTATTTTGACCGTCTGCTGTTGTGTTTGCTAAAGGGTGAAGAGGGACGGCATGGAGGCCCGGGCCGAGCTGGACCTGCTGGTGCTGAGGGTAAGCCTGTGAGTACTGCGTAGTTTAATATCCCAACCCTGAGACACAGTTTGCACACACACACAGTCCGAGATTAATATAAACATGCTTCCCACCAGTAGCATGAACTCAGAACAACCCTGCACCTTTTTGCAGGAAGTGCGTGACATTCCCTGCCAAGATGGTCTGCTGGTGGGGTAGACGCCAATATCCCAGCTTACTTGGAAAGTGATGTCATTAGAATGGCCTCCCAGATAGCATTAACAGGAAAACAGAATTCCTCCTTTAACACCATTCGGTGAAATAGTGCGCCGTTTCCAAAAGAGTCGAATATTACTCTACTTTCCATGTAACATGGAAGTTTCCCATATTTTACGGGCTTGCTCAGCTGGCGCTGACCCCATTCTGGGCATCGACTACGGCTCGCCCCGGTCTCTGGCTCCCTGTGGTCGGACTGGGCTGGTACCATGGCTGTTTAATGACAAAATATGACTGAATATCTTCATGTGTTGTCTTACCATATTATGATTTCGCTTAAGACCTTTACATATGTCTTTACATAAATACAAACAGAAACAAGACACACAAACACTGTACAGAAGCATAAGTATCATTTGAGCTTCCAATCAGTGCTGGCATTTATACAATGAAGTTTAGCTCATTAACATACTTCAGAGTCAAGAATATTTCAATATTTCCCTGCATCCACTGTGAATCCTCTGACTTGCTCCTCTTCTGCTTAGTCTGCTTTTGCTGTTTGGCTTGCGGGTTGCCCCCCCGCCCCCCCCCCCCCCCCCCCCCCCCCCCCCCCCCCCCGCACGAGGGCCTACGCTCTGCCAGCCAAACTCCCCTACATGGCAAACATCGTAACTCAAAAACGCTGCAGCTTCCATCTATTCCGGACCCTGTGCCCGATTCTGCCATCTTTCTAGAACGGTTAACAACTATATAATTTAATCAGTCCCCCTGCTCTATATTTGGTGGTGCTAATTTCTTCTCCAAACGGCCAAATTTGTGCAATAAGCACTGAGTTCCAACAATGTTTGGCGGCAGTGATCATGACACATATAATTTAACTATTAGCCATGGTAACTTACAGCCATTTCACAAAAACATTCTAGTACAGGGCCACTTGATGTTCTGGCCATTGATAAACATGCATGTTTTCAAAATGTATCTGGAAGCTCGATTAGCTACAAGAATAAAATGTATCATGAGGTCTGCTTGAAGTCCTGAAGTGCAGAGAATCTGGGTCTTTGATCTACACAGATAGTCATAGTCCAACCCATTAGTGACATCTGCAGGCACAATAATTTGCTTATTTGATCAGCCCATGATGATAACAGGCCACAGTTAAACAGTGGAAAAGATGACAGGCTGCAGTTTAACTTGGAGTATTTCAAATTATGCTTAAATAAATCTACACTGAAGACTTTGGACAAATACTTTACTGTAGCACCACTTGGAAGCAGCGATTTGAGGGACGCCGCTGTTTCGAATCATGTGGAGGATTGAGGGATTTTTCTGAGCCTTAAGCCAGATTAAACGAAAGCTAAATCAGAACATCATCTTTCATAAGAAAATGCCACTGTGGAGTCTGTGTGCAGGACTCAGTGGCTGTTTAATGCTGGATTTACTCAGACTCATTTGTTAGCAAAGGACAATCCAAGTGTCAGACACTGCAGTTACTGCGCAGCTAAGTAATTGCTAACAACTGTAACTCAAACAGTTTGCTGTTTAGCTACACGCTATGTGCATGCAAAGATGGACACTGTTCAATGGCTGATCCCAAGCTGTTAACATTTCCAGCTAAATCAGTGTGACCGTTAGTGGACGACTACATTCCCCGTTAAGCCTATAAGCTTAAAAAGGCAGATCCCCAGCACAGGTGCTCTGGCAAATATTCTCACCAGCAATTCATTTACAAATATTTCAATCTCTCCTCCACAGGGTGTTCCCGGTGTGAGAGGAAATCCAGGCCTTCTGGGCTCACCTGGCATGCAGGTAGAGATATACATCTGCTGACTGGTTGTTGAGCAGATCGAGCACCGCCTCTCTGGCTTGGAGAGACTTACAGAACCTTTCTGCCCCTGGTAGGGTCCGCGTGGTACCAATGGATACAAGGGTGAAAAGGGAGAGCCTGGCGATCGGGTAGGATGGCAGTGCCCTCATCTGGATCGTACTGAATGCGCTCAGCAGTTATTGCGTTCACAAATAGCTGTGCACATAGATGTTTTCTTCCTGTTAATCCTGCTGGTTATTGTGTTTATATGAAGTTCATTAATTGTCTAATGACACAATGGCTGTGTAGTGGAGATGATGTAACATTTATCTTTCTGTTCAGGGTGAGCGAGGTTCTTCAGGTTTTCCTGGGTTACCGGGACTACAAGGTGAAAAGGTAACTAAACACAAGAGCCATACCGCCATTTCTTGTCAAGAGGAACCATAGAGAGTTAAAAAATGTGGAATATCTATAGGAGTGTCTGTCACTCAGTTAAGCAGGAAATGTTTGACCTTTTACGGTAATGTGCATCAGATCATCTGTGATGACCTCCAAGGGTAAATATTGGCTTGCATTACAAGTGAGAAACGTTTAACCAAAGTAATTATTTCCTCCTAATGATAAGTTATAGTCCAGGGTGTTTTTGAGTTTTAAAAGCTTTTCAGATCGTGGGTGTGAAAATCCCAGGCTACTTACAGTATGCTGTGATGTTGGCACCTTTTACTTTTGAACAGGAAGCTGGAGGGCGATGCCTCAGCAAGCATAAATCCCAAACATGAGGCTCCTCTCAGCAGTAAATTACTAGGAATTACACGTAGCCGTCGCAAATAGATATTTAAATGCTTTTCTCTGTCTTTAGAGGTAACCCAACACTGGATTTAGCAGAAATTCACTGCTTAGAACTGTGGTGCAATTTATGTGAATTTCTTGAGAGATGTTTGAGATCTTACCAATGGCAACCATTTCAGCTTCATGTACACCTCATCTCTCACCGTATAACGGAATTGGTCTTTGAGAATCTGCCATGTGGCTCCCATTGCTGTATTAGCCCTTATCTGACGACAAGGACAAATATGGACACAGTATTAATTACAGGGTGCAATTGATCTGAAGTAGAGTTTTAAGAGAAGCTGACTATGCTCATTATCATGTTTGCCTTCTGTGAAATTTTGTTAAATTGTTCTGTTAAATTGTTACCTTGGCAATGGTGTTTAATTCTTACTTTCTTCGACATTTCAGGGTTCAAGTGGGTCACCAGGATTACAGGGGTTACCTGGCCGGGATGGCAAGGTGGTAAGTCCGCTTTTCATATATTAAAACGATGATCTGCATATTATGTTTATCATGGATGCCTTAAAAACATAGCTTGATTTTCAGTAGCGTAATGGACACTATACTATGTGTAATGAATGAGAAACGAGCTCTGAAATGGTACTGATTCTGTTGTGCCGGTTTCAGGGAGAGAAGGGGAGCATAGGACCTGTGGGACTGCTTGGACTTCCAGGGACTCCTGTGCGTATGGATTTGCAGAACTTTCTGGGGGCTTGTCGGTAATGAAGACGGGTCGGCACTCACGCCTCCATTGTTTTTCCATTCAGGGACGTCCTGGCCTTGATGGGAAAGATGGGGAGCCAGGCAGTGACGGCCAGAAGGTTCGTATGAAGCCCGATCGGTCCGTCCAACTCGGGAATTAGAGCAGAAGCAGAGCAGGCAGATGAAGAGGCCATGGGCCCGGTGATGAAAATGAGGCGAGGCGGCGAAGGCCGTAGGACCAGAGACGCACATCTGTCGGGTTTTTCCTTACCAGGCAGCATCCAAGCTATAGAAGCGTATTCCTGAAACTGGGTCACGTGCAGATCCATGAGCATGTTAGTGTTTCCTCATGCACTGCAGGCTACGATGACTGTTTCAAGTGCTTCCCCAACAGCCGTTTCTTATTACCCACAAGGCCGTTCATCATCGCCATGGTGATTCCCTGCATTGTAAATCCTACGTTATATGCCTGATCTTGTATCTCTGAAACATATATTACCCCTTTAATGTCCACATTTGTTCCTCTTCCTCTGAGCTGAGAGAATCTGGAGCAGGGAAAACTAGGGGGTGGGGGGGGGGGGCATCTAAGGTTCCTGGTTCCAACTTGTGGGTCCAGCCAGTTGTTCTTAATCATCTCTTCTGGCAGCACCTTCTGAATGCTGAGCCTACGCTAAATGGCTCTGCAGCTTTGCTCTGCAGGGAACAAGCCTCCATCTCCACAGCACACTTGTCTATGATTCAGCAAGTCGCACAGTTGACTCTGCAAATCCCTCGTTCTCCACCTGAGGCAGGTTTATCTTACAGGATGCTCTCAGGCTACACCCCCACTGCTATATTTTCATTTGAAAACTCCATTCTACACCCGCATCTACACAAGCATTTTCACATCGTTTACCGAAGTATTTCCAGCAACACTGAAATGAGTCAAAACATAAGTGGCGTAGCGATTAGCCTTCACTGCGCAGGCGAGCATCAACAAAAACAGGAAAGGAAAGTGTTGCCTGCACGGCATCATTCGTTCACTAGTGATGAGTTCCATTGCATTATAATTATGACAGGTAATATACAGGACTCACTGTGTAACATGCAAATTAACTGCATACAGGTCAGCAACAGGGAATACTGTTTACTTCTGTTTACTTCTGTTTACTTCTGCATATGGCCAAAAATATTATCGTGATAAGAAAAATGTTCATATTGGTCAATATCGATGGTTATCGATAAATGTCAGGTCATTATTTCTCTCCAGTTTAAAGGCTGATTTTTGTGATGACTTCGATCTAAGGAAGAGACAGACCCCGAAATGCAGGAGAAAGGTTTATTAAATTGGACACAGCCAAAAGCAACCAAATCCAAAAGGGAAATCCAAAAGGGTAGTTGGGTCGTTCGCAAGAGCTTCAAAGCCAGAGAGATCAGTCCTACAGAGAGAGATGGGACGATGAGACGAAGAGATGGAACGGATGAGGCAGGCAGGATGGGAAGGCAGGGCAGGTAAGGCAGGTAAGGCAGGCAGGACCTGGCAGGAAGGCAGAGACGACCGGGGAAGCGGGGCAGGCGAGATGGCAGGGCACGAAGGGACAGGCAGGGAAGACACCAAAGAAATAAATACTCAGTAATGGTCATAATATGGCAACAATACTTCGCAATTGCTGTTTGGCTGTTCTTGCTTTAAGTATTGTGGCAGAGAACGAGGTGATTGCTAGCCGCGGTGCTGCTCCGCCCCTATGGGCGTGACAATTTTTACTGCTGTGTTAAAATTAACAAGCCTGTTGGTTAATCATACTCTTTCTCATCAGAGTGTAACAAACACTTGCCAAACCGTAATAATGGCCAAAATGACGCTTCCAAAAGAATTTGCTATATTTTCTGACGCTACTAGATCAAGCTCTCTGTTCACAAAAGGGCTCAAAGCCCAAAAGGAAACCAAAAGAGCTACATGTACTAAACAGTATTTCGCATTTCACAAGTCAGAGATAGAAGATCTAAAAAACGCAGCTGTACGGAGCCCCTAAAGTCCCATAAGGTGAATTTTTTATCTTGTGTGCACAAGAGAAAGCGACCTCATTTTGGGATGCAAAGCCTGTGGCCAGTGACATGTTTTATCCTAAGTTATATTGAAGTTTATCGAGCATTTGGCACATCGATATCGAGGGGAAATTATATTACAATAATTATCATTATCGTTTAATGCTCAGCCCTACTTCTGCAAAGCATGACCAGGTTACCAATCAGACAATCAGAGGGTATAACTGATGGGATCTGCGAAGGTCCACATAATGAGTGATTACCATTTAGGGCTCTTTTAGGGTTTTCATTTTCAATAGTCTCCATTTTCACTCATACACACTGAAACTCTAAAACTGAGTTTGGCTCTGAAGACTGTTTTCAAAAGTATCAGTTTTTGGGTTTTGAAAAGTTTGGGGTAATGTGGATGAAAGATGGGGACTAATGTCTTCCTTTTTAAATGAAAACATAGCATTGTGGATGTAACTTCAAGCTAAACCATGTGCAACACCTTCCAGAGACTTCAGAGGTATAATATAGTTCCTGACGAGGATATCTACCATAGACCTAGAAGCCAGCCAACATGAATTTCCATAACATGCTTTAAATCCCTGAAGTAGTATCTGTAAAGCTCTAATGAGATGCAGTAGCATCTCCTGATTTTGAAACCACTAAGTTCTAAATCTGCACTAGAGATACTAACAGTACTGACAGCTGACAGGAATTTGAAAAGCCTGCAGATAATGTTGTTGTTCTGATGATCTTCTTTGACACATCTCCTTAGGGAGGAGCTGGAAAGCCTGGCCTCCCTGGCACTGACGGACGAGAGGGACACCCAGTAAGTCTGATTTTTGTTTGTTTTCGTGGTCCCAGAGCTTTGCATGAGGAGGTGGGAGTCACTTAGATGAGTCTTCTGCCAAGCAGTGGGTGTAACTTCAGAGTCTTGAAGGCTTCATCTCATAGCTTCTGCTTATGGGATGAGAAGACGCTATATTGTCAGTTGAATACTGCATTGACAAGGCAGTTCGGACTGAACATGCTCATTATTACAGATTGAGCTTTTAATTCCTTCCAAGGATATTAACATTTAGTCTTTGCACCATGTTTCCATGTTCCTCTACAATCCCCTTAAGACCAAAAGCTCACAGATGTGCCAAACATCTGCACCAGTTTATTGTGAGAAAATGATGAGCTCTGCTTTCAAGGTAATCTCACTGAATGCGCTCTACAGACACTAACAGTCTTTGTTTACGCAGGTGTATTTTAGCAAACACACAATGGCGTTACCGTGATGCTTCCATTTGTTTACTCATGAGAGCTTCATGCCAGATCCATATTTTCCTATTATCCATAAAAGACATCTAAAATAACATCTCATCGTCCACCATTGCTGAGTGAGCAGAGATCAGTGGTTGTGGTCAGATGTTATTAAAAGGGGGCTTCACCTCATTGACCTCATTGTTTATAGGTAACCCCTTCATCCTTCAGATCCATTCAGATCATTACCTGATTCTTCTAACATAATAGTAACAACATAATATCCAGTTATAACAGTGTAGAAACAAAAATGGGGCCTGAGATACAGTATCTGGACATGCTTGTGCCGTTTGATCAGTCGGGAGGCCAGAGCCACAGAATGGAGCAGAAACCAAGCAGAGTATCCAGCAATGGGTGTCTGAAGGAGGACAAGTTTTCAGAATAGCTAGTGGGAGGTTAAAGTCGGCAATAGCTGCACTTCGAGACCTGGGGGGGGGAGGGAGGGCGGTAATGGGTGGTAATATGTTAGCAGACTTTCACGCCACCATACTAATGTTAATATGTCCTGCACTCTGAATTATTGCTTCATAAAAACACAATGACCTCCACATGTGTAAATGAGCGTGATCACAGCCTGCCGATCTCGTGTGCAGCGTGCAGCTTCTCGGGCCGGGATACGCCGATTAACATACTGTTTGTACTGTCCTTTTAAAAGATGACTGTGGGCTTTTAGGACAGCATGGTGCTTAATGTAATATACAGTCATTCCCTGTTCAGTACAGGGGACGCCGGACAGGCAGCTGCACTGAACGTGTCCATGAAACAGGCCTATCCTGCGTGTGAGAGGGAGGAAGGCCCTTTGGCACTGTTTCAGGACGTCCTTTTTCCTGTGCTATGTGCGTGTTTTGTCGAACTCAAACTCGCCAATGGACAAACTTTGTTTCCACCATATCCTGTTTTTGGTACATTTAGATGGGATTTTAATTACTATTATTGTGTTGCCTAACTTAAGTTTGTCCAAGGGGATTTCACATTTTGCCCAATTTTACAGCTGCCTCTTTTACTGGAGCAATGAATCAACGGGGGGCATCGCTCTCGGTGCCGCGAGAACCGGACCCTTGCTGGGCTGTGAGCTGGCAGCTTGGGCTCTCGGTACCCCGAGAACCGGACCCTTGCTGGGCTGTGAGCTGGCAGCTTGGGCTCTCGGTGCCGCGAGAACCGGACCCTTGCTGGGCTGTGAGCTGGCAGCTTGGGCTCTCGGTGCCGCGAGAACCGGACCCTTGCTGGGCTGTGAGCTGGCAGCTTGCGCTCTCGGTGCCGCGAGAACCGGACCCTTGCTGGGCTGTGAGCTGGCAGCTTGGGCTCTCGGTGCCGCGAGAACCGGACCATTGCTGGGCTGTGAGCTGGCAGCTTGCGCTCTCGGTGCCGCGAGAACCGGACCCTTGCTGGGCTGTGAGCTGGCAGCTTGCGCTCTCGGTGCCGCGACAACCGGACTATGAGCCCCCTGCTTTGCACTCTCCATTTTATAATGTAGTTGGATTAGCACACAGCAGGCGATGATTTACTTGACTGCCGGCCTAACTTTAAGCACACATAAGCATTCCCTCCCAGCACCAAAGAGGATTTAGAATAACTACCTACTAGCACCTAGCTAAATGTGAAATACATCCTGACAGCTGCAGTGCAGCAAACAGATGACCAACAAACTGAGCACTTTACGAAGGCCTGCCAAGGCCCACCCAAACCTAAGACATTCTCTGCAGAGTGACAGAATGAGATGAGAAAGCCCACCAAATGTGAGGTTTCCATTTGGAAAATGGCCAAACCTTGACGATCATCCTGATAACGATGCTGTAAAATGGAGAAGCTTCCAGAATCCGGGAGGCGTCACTCCTCGGAGATGTGCTGCTTGGTTCAGGCTGATCCTCTGTACCACCTCCCAGAAAGCGGTCTGCCTCACTGCTTTACTGCATCTGAAGGCTCCTGCCGCCTTCCAGTGCTGCTGTTGGAGATGCATCCAGGCACCCGAATTAGCTGTGTTCACCCCCATTCAAGCCACAAATGGTCACTGCACTGAATATTAGATAATCACGCTCCTTGTTAAAGAGATGCTGAAGCAGCGTGTTTTGCTAACCAGCTAACTAGCTACCATCTTCTGACTACTGGCTAGCTATTTATGCATTTTGTTTTCATTTTGGGGGTCCCGAAGGGATAAAGGCCGCAGAAACAACAAACCAACCCCAATGGTGCTGTAAGGTTTCCATGCACTGATGAATCACAAAACAAGTTGAGCAAATGTGCTGTGAAGCAAATCTAAAAGCAAGCGGTTACCATAGTAACGTACATGTACTGTAGGTTTCATTTTTGAAACCTTGTCGGTTTTATAGCCTTGGGAGGATGTGGCTATTATGTCGTCGGACAGACGCTTCTGGGCTGGAGTCACAGACTCATTCTGTTCTCACTGTGGATAAAATAAATATGGTATTCGCACTGTAGCAGTTAACCATTTGAGATTTCATTGGACTGACGGAGGGAAAGTAAACAGAAGTATCCAATTAGGACAGGGAACTCGTCATCCAAGAAGGGAGAACATACGTAAGTAAATCCTTTTAGACGGGAATGTTTTAACAGGCCTCATGTAGGTAAAATACGTACTGCATTTCAAAGAGGAGTACCTATAAACATTTAAAAATGACACATTTGGCTAATCCTACTTTAATTTATAACCAACCGTAATGTTCACAGGAAAACAGATGTTGTGCCATCATAAATTACCAAAGATAGTTCTAATAGGTGTGACTAGTTCACTTTTTGTCTAGTTCTGGCTTGAAAGCTTGAAAACATTTCATAAAGCACCTCGTAGTGGTGGTCTGGACATGGAAGTCTGCCTCTTAAAAGTTATCTTCAAAAGGACAAAGTCTGATCTCACATCTACATATTTTTTTAATAATGTCACGTATATGGAAACACTGTCGCTGTTATTCTGTGCATACTGCACACCCCAGCACAGAACCGTAATAACTAAGTCAATGTGTGTAAATTTTTATGCAAATTGACTAATTCAATTCAGCTTCCAGCAGCATTTCACATAAACAATGCTTGTTTGTGCAGTTTATTCAGGAGCTTCCCAGGGATCTGAGTCACCCAAAATATTGTACAATGTTGACATACTCCATGCAAGTCGCCGTCAATCATGACCTGTTTATGCATGATAGTCAGCATGTCTTTTATACCCCAGTGTATAAATGTAAAAAAACTCAAAAAACAACATATCATCATCTAAAGTGCTGCCAGTATATTATGGAATGTCATTTTCTTTTGCGCACTTTCCAGCTGAGTAACTCTTAAGAAGCATTAGCCATTAGCGATGGCTAGCTCATAAATCACATCACTATATAAAGCCAGTTGACCGTGAACCGTTCCCCTGCATCTTACTTGACGTTTCCAATTGGTGGAAACTGGCAGATGTCCTGAAGTGTGACGGGGCTCTGGGCTTCTAAAGGAACATCACTGCTGTGTTAGGCCATCATTTGAAGGGAATATTCCAGAAAAATGGTCAATGCGCTTTACGATGGTCTTGTATGTGGTATGATCCCCGTTTTATATGTGTAATAGGTGTGACTAGTTCAAGCATGGGGATGCTCTGCCTATAGTATTGGTACAGCACAGTACTCAGCTGTCAGTGCAGTGCTCAGCATGTGTCACAATTAATTTGCTCAGCTTGCGGCTCAGTTACGGTGCTCAGC